GGCACATTAATAATAAAGAATTGAATTGAATTATTATTATTAATTTTATTTTAAATTGGTATTAAAATTTAATTGTCACAAATGGACTTTACAGAAGTTAATTCAACATTGAAGTTCACAAACGACCACTGCTTACTCGTGCTACGTAGCTTACACATTAAGGAGAGCAGTTGTGATCTCACTGAACTGCTATCAGAGTGGCGTCTTTACACGCTTTGTAGGCGCTTTTACCAGAGCGAGCATGCCTCGTCAGTGCTTNTACGACCTTGAGCTATAACAGCTGTAGGCGCTGTTACCAAAGCGAGGTAAGTCAACGCGGAGCATACCCCGTCAGTGCTCACCCCACCTCCTACAGCGATAGCTGTCAGAGCTCAAGAATTAACAACCCGAGCAAACGGTACATACCTATACAATGGGAACCCCAGAAAAAAAAACTGAAATATTAATTGTATCGCATAACTTTAAAACCACATAAAAATAAACCGCGCAAAAAGGGGGGAAAACCTATCATTTGTGTATTAAAAATAATTTTGTATACTAATTTTTTAGAATTTATTTTTATTTTGCTCAATTAAAATTTGGTTTGTTTTAAAATTTTCAAACCGGACTATAGTGAATCTGGGCTATGCGAGGTATTGCTGTATATGCAATTGCAGAATATTCCTTGTGATATTGTGTATGCTGGTGTTTCCATTCCTGTTCCTTCAATTTTCGTTCTAGTTCTGAAACCTTAAAACTAGCATATTTCAAGTCCTCCACTTGGGAAACTATGTGTTTATAGTGCATATCAAATTCGATATGACTCAAATTCTTGGAAACACCCAAACTTTCACAACATTCACTGCGATTCAACTTTTGACAGCAGGTCGCCTCCATATTTTGTAGTATTTACTTGTACATCAGTTTTTGTGGCCAATAAGGCAGTAAGACTATACTCTTTATAATTTGGCTGGATGATTAACTTTCCAGTAGCTGTAAGTAAAATATCTAACGGTTCCTTTTCAGGACACAAAACGGTGATATTATCACTCATGGGAATGAAATAAATCCATTCATTCCTGTGTTCTAACTGTGTCAAGATTGTGTGTGTAAGTTGTACAATTCTAGTGTTACAAATTTTAGGAATATATATTCTTGGTTGTAACAACTTTATTGCACACGTCTCTTGCATATGACTATTCAGTAGAAGTTGCATTTGTTTACATTATTTTTATTTAGTTGGTTCTATGGTTTTGCATCTTCTGAGCTCCTCTCTATTTGTCATCAAATAGTATTGCCTTGTTTGGTTGATGTATAGCAATTTACTCTCTGTTTCAATATAAACAAATTTATTCTGTCCTACTGCTACTGGCAATGGTATCAACTTAAATATTTAAATGTACCTCTACTGATTAGTGATAAGCTAATGATATACCCTAAAATGCCATCCTTTATATATACAGAGTGTCCATAAAGTCTCTTTACAATTTCAAAAATTTATTACAAAGGCAATTGATGCGATATCTTCATCAGATTTGTTGTATGTACTTAGTGGTTATCAAAGTTTTTATCACATGGAATTTGTGTATTTCAGGTACTCTGTTGATGAATAAGGTACTGGTAAATGAACCCCATACAAAATGGCAACCGAGTTTGTTTTAGTGATGAGGCAACCTTTCATGTTTCAGGGAAACTGAACACACACAATGTGAGAATCTGGGAATCAGGAAACCCCCATGTGACTAGGGAACTTCAGCAAGATAGTCCAAAGGTGAATGTGTGGTGTGGAATCTTGTGCAATCGAATCATTGGTCCGTTTTTCTTCGACGAGTCATCAGTTACTGCAAATGTTTACCTTGATCTTTTAACTGAATACGTGGCATCACAACTACATGACCTTCAACCAACCATCATTTTCCAGCAAGATGGTGCACTACCCACATTGTGGGTTCCTAAATGAAACATTTCCAGACAGGTGGATTGGAAAGGGTGGCCCAATTCCCTGGCCACCTCGTTCACCAGATATCACTCCCCTCAACTTCTTTCTATGGGGTTATGTTACAGATATCGTGTATCGAACACAGGTATGGGCCATCACTAATCTAAAGCAGAGGATCACCGGTGCTATTGCCACCACTGATGAGGGTATGCTACAGCGAACATGGCAAGAAATCTAGTACCGTCTTGATGTGCTTCATACAACTAATGGTGTCCATATAGAGGTGTATTAAATGAGGCAAAAAAAACTTAAATATATACGTTTCATGTTGTAATAATTTCCAGTTATCTGTCTTTTCATTTGCCTCTGTAACAATTAAAATTGTAAAGAGACTTTATGAGAGACTGTATATGCATATCACATACGTTGGATATTAAATTGGCTGAATCCCTGCCAATAATAAATGGTGGCGTAGTTTTGAACCGCCCCTTCTCCTTCTTCCCTCAAATGCTGCTCATTACGAGAGCCGTGAAGAGGGAAGGAGCAGCCCATCGTCGCTGGCTCTATTGTTGTGTTCGCACGCTCCCAGAGATAGACGTGGGGTATCCAAGCTATGTGAAGGAGCTACAGTGATATGTTGGCCTCAGATAACAATTTAGAAAATTTAATAACAAAATAAATAAAGTACAGACATAACAAAGAAACACACAATCCTGGCAGAACATGGGGTACAACAACCCAACACACGATTGCTAAGCAATCTCTTGTTGCCAGAACTTGCCCCAATTTCCACCTTCCCTTGGGCTTTGAATGGGTTACCTTCTAACAAACCCAAATAATATAAATGCAGGTAAATACAAAACGATAACACGCATCGCAACTGTCCTACCCAACGGCTTGCGACGTGGGCAGCCTTACTTTACCAGCCAGCCAGATACCAAACCAAATATTAAGTAACCCAGCTGAAATGGAATTTGCAACCATCCCTGGTAGCTGGTAAACATCTTCTCCAGTCAACGTCGTATGACAGACTGCACAGTAAGCGACAGTAAGCGCACTTTTATACTTGCACGCCACATGCCACATGCCAGGCGTGTGTATTAACATTGTTTAAATGGGACCATTTTATACTTACCTGCTCGCGTCGAGCGGTCACTTTCTGCAGCCTGGCATGCGACTGAGGCATGTCGGGACAGGCGTGCGGCCATCACTGCCTAGCATGTCCCGCCACGTGGGTGGGACCAATACCATACGGGAGTTTTTATATAGTTGACACTTCATGCAAAGCGGTTCGGTTCAGTTCAGTTTAGCTTGTAGTCTTGCGAAGTGCTAGCTTGGAGAATGGATGCAATTGATACAGAGGTGCTGATTAGTGAAGTGCAATCTACACCTATGTTATGGAACCCAGGAAAGGAAGACTACAAAAACCGAGGTCTGCGGAATAAAGCATGGGAAGAGATCTGTAGCAGTATCATCCCTATATTTGATGAAGCTGATGACAATCTAAAGAAAAAATTAGGTGAGTTCTTATTTTCTATTTGGTTCCTTGTTTATTTAATTTACAGGCAATTGCACTGATCTTGTTTTTGTTACATGACGAAATTACAAACCACAACACATAATACACTTATAATTAATTCTTCATAGTTTAAATCATTGATTCCTGCCACGGCACACTACCAACACCCATACATTGAAGCATTCGACTTACCACCTCCTCTGTTGCATAGCCCTTGTCTTCAATCTTCGAACCCGACCACTGTCAGTGTCTTCATAATTGAAACCGTCTCTGACTGTAATGAAGTTGTGCAGAACACAACAGGCTTTTACAATGTCCACAGCAAGATTTGTTTCAACGTTTAAAGGGCGATGGAAAATTCGCCATTTGTTGCTTAGAATCCCGAAAGTACACTCAACATATCTTCGAGCCCGGGTCAACCGATAGTTGAATACTCTCTTGTTGTGATTCAGATGTTTCCTGGAATAAGGTCTTAGCACATGTTCACTGAGAGAGAAAGCTTCATCTGCAACTAATACATGAGGCAGTATAGGGTTAACAGTTCCTGGTAGTGGCTTTGGTGGAGGGATGTCAAGCATTCCGTTAGTCATCTTACACCAAAATAAACTATTTTGAAATACAGTGGAATCACAATTTCTCCCATAAGCCCCCATGTCAATGAAAGTAAAACAGTAATTGGCGTCACAAATGGCCATCAGACAAACAGAAAAAAAATGTTTGTAGTTCATAAAAAGTGACCCACTGTGTTGTGGTCTCACTAAACGAACATGCTTCCCGTCAACTGCCCCCAGACAGTTGGGAAAGTTTGCTTTATTTTCAAAGACAAGGCTGATTTCTTTCCATCTCTCTAAAGATGGTTCAGTCATGCACTCGTTTCTCAGCACCAACCACAAAATCATACATACTTCACGCACTATTTTAGATATAGTTGTTATGCCTATTCTGTATAAGTAGTGATGATCGGTGAATGTATTTCCACTTGTAAGATATCTGAAAATAAAACTTTTTAAAATGTTAGTTCGTATGCATATAATTTCATTTAATTAGGAGTATATACTTGCATCTACTCATATATATTATTAATTTAAACTGTTTCTTTTCAGTTGAAAAAGTTCGTTCAAGATGGAAATCCTCAAGGGATTCCTACATGAAGGCAAAGGGGAAAGCTAAAGTTCTCAAATCTGGGTCACCACCATGCAAGCCAATTAAATACGTATATTACGAACAGATTCATTTTTTGGACAAAGTACAACAAAGGTCTACCATTTCAAACTTTGAAACTCAAGCTGTTGAAGATGAGAATATCAGTGAAGTTTTTGATGATAATAGGGAAATTAACGAAGATAATGACATTCATGATGACGCTTCAGTCGCACAAGATGCAGCCAGAAGGGAGTTCAGCGAATCTGTTAAGATAACGGAGAAAAAGAAACAAAAACTAGACGATTTGGGGGAAAACCTTTTGGCTTTATTAAAAAGCAGCAAGGAAACAGAAGAAGACTCTGACCGGTCATTCTTGTTATCCCTGCTTCCACATGTCAGAGGGTTTGACGAAGAACAAAAATTGATTTTCCAAAGTGGGGTACTACAAATGATAATGAAAATAAAACAAGATTATGCACCGACCACTCCAATTGCTTCTCATGCCTCATATCTGCAATATCACTCATATAATCCAGGTCCATCCCAAGTGATTTACAACCACCCACAACAATCTTCTCCATCTGTATCTGATCCAGGTCCATCCCAAATGATTTACAACCACCCACAACAATCTTCTCCATCTGTATCTGATCCAGGTCCATCCCAAACAAATTATATCAACTCACATTCTCAGTCTGTGTCCACCTGCCAAGAAAAATTTGCTACTTCTTGGGAATCAGGAAGTACAGTATAGTGTAAAATGTGAGGTGACAAAACAGCAAGTGCACATGCGTTCATAAGAGAGAATGAACATTTTTAAAAGATAAAACTTCTAAATATAATGTGAGAAATTGTTTGTGCATTTGTTTATGTGGTAATTAAAATAATGTTTCAATAAACTGACCTTTGAGGTTTTAATTGTACTTTCTGTGTCTATATCAAACAGAAAATAAGCTTACCTCAGAGTTATACAAAGTCTCTCCATCGGACTAATGGGCATGGAGTGGGTCCTTGTAATACGAAAATGACTTTGAACTTTCCCAAATAATTCGTCGAATGTTTTGGGACTCATCCTAAAATAATTGAAGAACTTTATTTCATCTTCTTGTAAGTCAGCGTACATGATTATGAAAGCTCCTTTCAAGTCTATTAACTGTCTGATATCATGTGTTTTTGAGGGGAATAACATTATGGTGTGCCGTGTTGAGTCATGGATACTTCATGGTGTGCCGCGAGTAGAAAAAGGTTGCGGAACACTGACCTAAACAAATGTAACACCTATCCATGTACAAGGAATAAACGAAAATATGATATACTACACATCATATTTCAAACCAAACTTATATAGAATATACATATAAAATGAAAGGAAATTGCAAGGTACAGCTGCATATTCTAGCAAATAATACGTTATTTTATCTGGCCCTGCTGTGTACAGAAGAGAATATTTATATAATTAGTGTTAGTGCACTATCGACTTACAGTATGAAGTTTGCGTTTCTAGGCCCCAACATAATTAATAAAATTGTAATAACCGAAATTAGCGTGTAATATATAGTGTGTGGAGACAGGCGGGTATTACGAATTACGTTACGCGCCATGTGCTGTTGAAAGTCAATTAACATATTTCATTCACTTACGGAAATGTAATTGTCTCTGAAAATATTGCTAATTATTTATGAAACTCTGTATTTAATATTACTGGAATCCTTGAAAGTGCAGTCAAATTATTAAAGATACAAAGGGGCTGATGAATAAATTTTACTCTTAAAATAAGAGCACTGTATTGGTATTAAGCGACGCTGCCAAACGTTAGGTAAGCGATATTTTTCTCTCTGCAAAACAGATGACACGTTTAATTTATATATTATTAAACAACGTTATGATAGTTAATGTATAACATTATTGGTAACTGGGATAATATTATGATTATTGCGATTCGCACTGCGAAATACTAGATTAAGAACTGCTGAACACAATTCAAAGTAGTTTAACTGTACAAGGTTCCATTATTTCACCTCAGAGGCCTCATCCCTCAGATGACCACGCATACCGGAAGCCTAGCCAAGGGCCGGTGAGGGGGGGGAATAGAGCTCTGAGGCGGAAGGTGGTAAGCCGGCGAAGGTTTGGTTTGAACAGAATGAGTGCAATGGCAGTTGGTGAAAAGAGAGTTAAAAGTATTGATGATTCGTTTCAAAATGCAAGTAAAGTACTTGTTGATATCGAAGGCACAACAACATCCATCAGTTTTGTTAAGGTAATGCATAGAAAGTGTGGTTTAGACAAAGAACCGGCAAAAGGCGGCTTTGTTGCCATTCAATGCTTACGCATGAAATGTTAAATATAATGGAAGATGGATGCATGAAAATGGTGTGTTTTGTATTAAAAACTTCAGTGTAACAAGTAAGTTGGTAAGTAAGACGGTATTTGTGCGGTTTTGTTTCATCATGTAGGTTAATATCCAAGAGAATTATACAGTTCGTAGGCCAAGGATTTAACGCAATTCACCATATTGGACGTACTGGTTTGCCGGTATATTTGTGTAACCGGTCTATTTGTGAACGTAGATGGCTACACTAAACGGTAAATTAATTTCCATATATTACAACTGTAATGGTAAAGCTCATGATTCCGAGGTCTATTTCTTTCATCCGAAGAATGTATTGCTTGTAATAATGTGTGGACTAAATGAGTAAACCGTTACATGTTTACCACTCTGATTACTGAGTTCAATACCCTTTTTAAGACATGTAATGCATAACCCTTAGAGTATGGTGACTGGTGGGCTTATAGAGTTCTTGCTTCTGTACCAGCAACTACAGTATAGTTCTTATTCCCTTGTGTTAGTGTTTAGTGTGATACAACAAAATTCACCAATTACAATTGTTGCTGTATTTCAAAGTTAAAGAATGTCATAAGTGCATTTATCAGAAAATTCTTGAGGTGTTTTTTTTTTCTGATGAGACACTGTCTAATGTAATAATAAGCAGTCTTATAGAACTAAAAAGTTTCCAAATTATACACATTCAGTAAGTATAATGTTATGTCATGGGTAATACAGTTCAGTGTATACATATTTTCTGATAATAGTAAAGCAGAAACTATCTTGTTTGCCAGTGAAAGTAATAAGTAGAATTTGTGGTTCTTGCAGTGGTGGGTATTAAGAGTTCTGTCTTCTGGGATATAATGCTGTGTAGGCCATTGAAAGTCAACCAGCGTTTCAAAGCAGCACAGCAGAGCTCTGCTTTTATGTTGGTTTATTCTTTGATCTTGAAGACGGGGGAGACCTGTTCCTCCGAAACATTTATTGACTTTCAGTAGATTACATGGTGTTATGTCTCGTAAGAGTGAGGAATGTGGATTTTTATATGGGATGTGTATATAAATGGATTATGTGTAATACTATGCTCTGTAGATGCATTTATATGACCAAGAACTATTTCACTTCCTGTGATTAAAAGTAAAGTAAAGCTATCCCTGTACCAGGCCGTGAAGACCCATAGGGTTGTGAGACGTTGAGGTCCCACACTATCTAGACAATAGGCTCGAAGATGGCGATAAGGTTGTCAGCCTTACGCGCCGGCCGCACTTTACAACCCAGGAAAATTATTCAATTAATTCCTGGTACTCATTTCTTTTAAGGCTGAGTAAACCCCAGGGTCTAGTGCAGCTGGAAGGATTAGGTCAACTGAAAAAATCCAATGACCTCATCGGGACTTGAACCCGCAACCTTCTGGCTTGTAACATAGCCCCTCAACCACTACTCTACCGCATGCCCCCACTTACTGTGATAGTGTGTAAATTTTGTGTATGCATATTTATGTATTAAGCCTTTGTATGGGAGTGTTTGATTGTAGTATGTAATTTTATATGGACCTAAGCAGTCTCTAAACCAACTGTGAAATTATTATTGTTAATAATGTGATTTGGTATGTTTTAGTTTATGCATGTGGAATGCTTTGTAACTGATATTGTATTTTTGAATGTGGTATATTGTACTCTGTCATGTCCCACATGCTGCTGTAGAATCTATCTGTATTTGACCAGAGGGTCAAAACATTTAGCCCCACATGAAGTAATTAACCGGTAATGTTATATTATTGTTTCTGTGTTACTGTTGATGTTATATTTTAGCCCCACATGAGGTCATTAGCTGGTAATGTCATCTTATTGTTTCTGTGTTACTGTTGATGTTATATTTTAATTAAAAATTATTCTTTTTCTTCAAACCCTCAGAACCTTGAACTTTTAAATAAGAGATACCCTTAACCTCTCTTCATATTTTATATTGTGTGCTGGGTAAATACTAGTCTGTAATTACACATATACCTCTAAGATTACTGTGAGTTTACCAAGTAATTTTTTGTGATTATATGAGATTTGTCCATGTCTTATCTGCGTGTCATACTGGAGTGAATGAATTATTAGATAATAGAGTAATATATGTTTGAACATTCAGTGTTTTTAATTGTGATGTTCCTGTTTACTGGTATTTGAGTGGCATAGAATATCTGAAGCATTTCATTTCCATGGTTTCCTTTCTGCTGATATTAGAGTTTTAATTATACATTGCAGTTGGACCTACATTTCATTTGTGGACTAAGTGAAATGTTTTCCAGGAAGTACTACTTCCAGAAGATATTTTATATTTTGCTTTGGAATTGTAAGGTTTATAAATGTTTGTACTTTGATTTATTTAGAATAATATTCTTTTGAATATTCAGTGAATGTTGAATATTTTTTATCTAAATTTAATGGTGTGTATTTGCAGCATTTGTGTATTTAATTTCTTTGATGTACATAGCATTTAAACGTTCACATCCAGTATTAAAAGAAGTTCTTTTTTTGACTTGATGCTTTCAAATCTATGAGTTCTTGTAAGAAGGCACTGTACATTTGTGGTATGGCATTTGACCACATCCTAGTTTTTTCTTTATTTGTATTGTACAAGTCTGAACTTTAATCCCAAATATTTGGGATTAAAGTTGAACACTTTACAGGAGAGCCTGTTACATTTGAAATGTGTTCAGATCACATTCTTTGAAGCTAGTGTGTTGATGGAATTCAGTTGCTTTCAGCCATTTTGGCATAATGAATACTTTAATGTGAGTTAGTGTTTTATTTAATGACATTAAACATGATTTTCCAGTGCACTTGTAACTTAGTATGTGTGTTCAATTGTTATGCATATACTAAATTACATAATTTTGAATCCTTACATTGTTATTTTTTGGGGTATCAGTTTGATGTTTTTACTTATCTGTTTCCAGATATTAAGTTACATTTGGGCCCTCATTTTCTTTTCCAAATACAAGGCTGAAACATGATAGCTTTTTTTTATTATTATTATTTATTTATTTTGTCTATAGCTCACTGTTACATGATACAAGTCAGTTACTGTACATTGGCAGATTACAATAAGAGTAAAGTTACAATACTTACAATTATTTACAATAGACTACAGTAGATTACAATAGTTAGAGTTCGTATATTGTGAGGTGGAATCCATATTAGGTCCCCTCGGCTCGTCGGCCTCCATATGTCCTATTGTACCTGTACCGTGATTATGCTTATGGAGAATTTGATGGAATGACAGCATGCTGTACACATTGCTGCTATCCTGATGGTAGACAGGATATTTGCAGAATGAAAGCTTGCCTCAGATATTTTTTAAGCTTCCCTGTCTCATTTATGCATTCTGAAAGCGATGTTAAGTATAGCCATCCCTAAATGCCAAAGGTTTCCTTCAGCACATGTTCACATCCTCTGGCCTGTCACAGTTTTAACCACATATGTACAGAGGATGATTTTAGATGTTGAACTTTAGATGACATCACATTCCATAGATAGTACTTTATTGCCCTGTCTTCTCCCTTAAATTATCTGTTCTCACTTTTTAATATCTTGCCAAAATTTCCACCTCGGCTTTCAAAGTAATAGTTTTCTGTGAGATATTACTTTCAAAACTGTATGTCTCTGCACCTTCTGTGCATACTAAATGCCCTCCCCATCAGAAGCTTAGGTTAAGGTACCCTAACAATGCTAAAAAACTGTGAATGACAGAATTTATCATTTTGAAATTTCATTCAGTGATATGTTAAAATATGCTCATGCCATTTTGTTCTTGAATCCTTGTAATTAGTATGATGGGTCACATTTCAGAATAAAGTTTATCTCCTCCCCCCATTAATTGGTAAAAGGAAACAATTACATTATACTCCTCATTATCTAATTTGCAGCTTATGTGTGCAACACATCTGGAACCCTGCATATTAAGTTTCCTGATGTCCAACTGTACAGGAAACAACTTGGAAACTGTGGGATGAATTTTCATGAAATTTTATGGTTGAGAATTTTGTGAACATATTTATGTCCACTTCATCTTTGTTTTAAGTTGGATAATTTTAAAGGCTGCCTTACATGAGGGCTTACATGCATTTTTGACCATATCTCAGGCATAGCTCATTATATATGTATTAGGGGGAAAATGTTTTGAACTAAAGTTGCAGAGAAAAACGAAATGTTAATTTTGTATTCAGTGCACTTTTCCAAATGTCTTCATTTTTGTGATAAACAAATTATATGCCATGTGTGCATTTCCAGATTTCTGTATTCAGCAATCACCAAGGTTTCCAGAAGAATAGTGTCTTCTGGAAATAATGCCATGTAGTCCAGCCTAAGGCAACAGAAATTCAGATGAACATAATTGCCTTCATCTTCAGGGTCACCTGAAGATGGAGGCGGTATTTTCCTCTGAAAGATCTGTTCACTCTCAGTGGACTATACAGTGTTATATCCCAGAAGATATAACTTAATAACCACCACTGTGAGAATCTAACATCCTACCATGGTATCGTGGTAGTGGCTGAAGATTACCATTGGATTGTCCATGTTTTTCAGTTATTTGTGCGTCTTTTTCCTGTCATTAGCACAAATAATACACAAACTTTTTTTTTCTGGAATTTTGTATGCAAATTGATGCTTATGCTTAATAACTTCAGTGTTATATTTCATTTTCTGCAAGTAAAGTTTACACTGGATCTTCATTGGTAGTGTTAATTTTGTATTGACTGTACTTAAGTAATTTAAATATATGCACAATAGTATGCTGCAGTGTAGGTTTCATTGTTGGTGATTCCTCTCTTTAATTAAAGATTTGCAACAGGATGCTGAAATACAAGATTCCTCTCTTTGATTACATGTAGGATACGCTGTTCCCATATATCCGAAGCAATTTACAATCATACTTGAAGGCTCACTGGAATGATGCTGAATTCCAACAGGATTTACTCTTACTTAAGGAACAGGTAAGTTACATTTAGATGAATGTTAAAAGTATCTATCCAAACTGTATTGTCCTTTCAAAGTTTCCTCTTAGAATCTCAAAAAAAAAAATGACACAGGACTTTAAGTATATTGAATACCAGATATCAGCATTTAGTTGTACTGTTTTCCTTGTTTTACAAGGCTTTGCAAACTAATGCATAGAAGCATTCCATGTATAATTGGTAATGCAGTGGTTTAAAGGTCATGTCCTCTTGTGGCCAAAGACCAAGGAGCAGCTGCTGTTATGGGAAACAGGAGTTCCAAGCTGAAGTCATAAAACCTGCTTTCTTATTGTTTAAGATTTGTAGTCATGCAGACTATTTATTACTGTTGTTTTATTCGTATGAAGAGCTTAACCTTTAACGTACGGACTTTTAAATTGCTGGCAGCCCCCTGTGGCCGGAATTTAAATGGCCCCATAGGCCATGCCATAGCTCAAGATGTTAGTCGCTGGCTTCCCGGGTCTGGTCAAGTGGGATTTGTGGTGGACAAAGTGGTGCTGGGGCAGGTTTTCTCTGAATACTTCGGTTTTCCCTGCCAGTCTTCATTCCACCAATTGCTCCACAATCACCCTCACCTATCATCTGGGGCTGATACAATAGGCCAGAAGTGGCCACAGTACAAGGGACTTAGTCCCACCCCACTAGCAATAAAAAAAGCCCTAAGTCTTTAACATTGCAGACTTTCAGAAAAGACTACATATTTTCCATTCTATCCAACATAGAAATATGAACTAAAAGACAATAACATTTTCTACATATACACAAAAGAGCAATTTTACAAACGAAAATTAACTGTGATTATTTTGTCATAGAAATGCAAAATATAATCTTTATTATGTTATGAAATTCCAGAGGACTTACCTGTAGTTTTTTTTTCAACCTTAAGACTTGGTGACATTGTAAATATAATCACACTATACAATAATATTTTGTTCAGATTGTATGCAAATTTGAACTGCATCACTTCACAGTTTACGATACCCCACACTCTGATGCGCGTGTGCCACTTCTCGAAGCAGTCCATGACACAGCGCAACATCACACTTTTTACAATAGAAAATGGTGCTCCTGCTTTCCTTATTTAGCGAACACCCACGGAAAAGTCTTTGTTTCCCTTTGGTTGGCCAGTGTTCTGAATGTTTCACCTCCAGTCGACTCACTTGGGCCCCAGATGAACTTCGCCTCCCCCGAGAAACGCCACTAGCCGCGATATTCGCCTTGTGCAATTGAAGAATCATCTTAAGGGAGTGGGGTTTCCAGCTAAATGGAATAAATTATGTTGATTGACAAAGGGACACACACACCTGCTAGTAATACACAATAGTGATGCAAAGTAATTATAATACTAGTTGAAAAGAGTGCCAGTCCGACACTGATACCGAAAGTCACAGTGACGAAGATGACTTTTACTCACAAATTAATACTGGCTCAGTGGTTTTATACCTTTCCTGAGACACAAAATAAAATGATATATAAAGAAATATATGACAATCTGATACTGACTTCCTAACTGATAATTCGCTGCTGAAAACCAATCCTTCAATACATCACACTTCCTTGAAAGCTCTAGAAGCACAGAAGAATATTTACTCCTCAGTTCTCAAAATAAAGCTGGGGTCTGTTTGACTGACCAGGTCATAAACATTCCTGCGTTATATAAATCTAACATTTCTAACATTCGGCCAACATGGGGTGCTACTTGCTGTAGATATATATAACATTCCTCCATTAAAGGTTAATTATGTACACATTCTCAACAGATGTATTTATGCTTGTAATCTTTAATATACGAAGTAAACACAGAAAACTAAGTGTATGTTACTGTCTCATCACCAAAATGCAGGATGAAATCATGACATAAATATAGGAAATAGATGTTTTAAAAATGTGGCACAGTTCAGATATTTGGGAACAACGATAACAGATCAAAACCTGATTCAGGAGGAAATTAAGAAGAGATTGAACTCAGGTAATGCTTGCTACCATTCAGTCCAGAACCTCTTGTCTTCTCATCTGCTGTCCAAAAACATAAAAATTAGAATATACAATGTTATATTTTAGGGTCCTGTTACGCTAATTCCTGTCCATGGTTTATGCTGACCGTCTTACAGTGTATACACCTTTTCACCTTATTCTTCACTTCCACACTACATGTTTCAGCACTTATGTGCCATCCTCAGGTGTCTTTATGCACGTTAAACTATTATAGAACACATGCAGTAACAGGAGCAAAACAACACAGAACACGATACACATATGCATGTAGGAAGAATGCTCACATAAAAGAGGATTGGCGTAATTCGCGTGTTTGAGTGCAACGTGGGATGAATCCTGAAAAGTTTTATTATTTAGAATTCAAGGACATATATGACGAATACAGATTTTAGTCATTTTAGAATGAAGACATCATGGCATGCAGTACAATAGTTTAACGTGCATAAAGACACCTGAGGATGGCACATTAGTGCTGAAACACGTAGTGTGGAAGTGAAGAATAAGGTGAAAAGTGTATACACTGTAAGACGGATAGCATAAACCATAGAATATACAAAACTATAATATTTGCCTGTGGTTCTGTATGGGTGTGAAACTTGGTCTCTGACATTAAGGGAGGAACATAGACTGAGGGTGCTGAGGAGAATATTTGGACCAAAGAGAGATGAAGTGACAGAAGGTTGGAGAAAACTGCATAATGAGGAGCTTCATATCTTGTACTCTTCTCCGAGTATAATTAGAATGATCAAGTCAAGGAGGATGAGATGGGTAGGGCATGTAGCACGAATGGGGAGAAGAGGATTGCATAAAGGAAATTGGTGGGAAAGCCAGAACAAAAGAGACCACTTGGAAGATCAGGGCGTAGGCGGGTGGACGCTATAAAATGGATCTTAGAGAGATAGGA